ATATGGTTTTTCCCTTTTTCTTAATCCATTTTAGTAAGTCTTTACAGTTTTCTGGGATTTTGACAATTGATCTAGAATTTTCTTATCTCTCTATTTACATATTTCCAATTAACAGAGTTAAACAGGCCTATTTGACAAAGTGTGATTAAAGAATACAGCTTTTAAATAGATTTCAATGTCTTTATGCTTTTGAATTAGACAAATAACTTGATATCAATGGAAATGGAAGATGCAGCTTTCAGCAGAAACAGTCCTCTGAAAGTTTGAAGTATTTGAAATACAGGAAAATAATAAACAGAGAAGACAAAGTTGCATCAGAGCATTCAGCCTAAAAATTATTCAGTAACTTCAGCTTTTGTGTAGTTTAATGGGAAATCAAGTTTGCTAGGGACCTCTGAAGAGTCTTTCAAGACTTTAACAGACTAACCTTCTAATGCTAAATCAAGTATTTGTACTCATGTAAACTGTTTGGAAAGAGAATCTGTGTGTGTCTTGGTAAAATCCGCTGTTCAGGTTTACTGATGAATAGGGAGGAAGAATTGATTCACCCACAAGCACTCTGGGATTTTATGCTGGCTGAAATATACAAAGAAACTTTTGATAATCTTTTAGAAAATTTCCAGTATGAAATGTGCATGTAGCAGGGTTGAGGAAATGACAGAGGGTCAGATTTTTCATTTTGTTTTCCCTTCACTGCTCTACCAGAATTGCAGATCTGCACAGAATCATGCTCATTCCATTTTTTGGTGCTGAATGAAGGATAGGATGAGGATGGGATAGTGACAGTAGAGGATAGGATGTAAGAATAGCAAATATGTAATACATGTTGCTGAGTTCCTTCTGTTCATTAGTGATAGAAACTGGTCTTCATGCAGATGTATGGGAGGTAATGTGAAAGCTTAGATATAGTGCAGCTACCAAAATATACATTATTACAATTTCTTTTGATGAATTACTATCTCAGGTGAAAAGTGTTAATTGTCATATCTTTAGAGAATGTGTGTAATTACAGCATCACAATCTCTCAGGAGCAGGGCATCAGTCTTCAGATATCAGTATTTCAATATAGCTTTATGCAACTGTCTGTCCTCCTGTAGTTGATCTTGTATATTGGTTGTCCCTTACAATTTATTTTCCCTATGGTATTTGCAAAGTAGGTTTAATTTCTTGTTTATGTGTAATCACTTTATTATTTTCAAATATTTTAAAAATCCATTACAAAAATCTTAAATTGAGGTTGTACCAGCTTCTTCATTGTAAATCTGAATTGATCAGTTCCTTTGTTTTCAAGGTAATATTAATATGAGACACTGATCAATTTCTGTTCTGTAAGTCAGTGCAGAAATGCATAATTTTTATTGAATTCCAACCCTTTACTAAATTGTAGCAGTGTTCCATTCTTATTCTATAGTTGCACCATTGCTAATCTAGTGGCTCAAAATAGGTAAGACTCTTGCAGTCAGTAGAAAATAAATTGCTTCACTTCCAGTGGCTTCTGGACAGTTAATAGAGGCCTTTAACAAAAAATGATGGGTCCTTTTCACTTCCTTCCCTTTCACTATGATCAGGTTTACTAGAAATTTCTGTGCAAAATTCCAATGGCATCAACCCCATACAGAAAACACTGACCTATCTGAAACTCTCCTGTAGTTTTCAACTTGAACCATTTTTTCCCTTTTGCCTAAAAAGTTACTCTTCAGCAGGAAATCAGATGGTCTCAAGCTAGCAGCCTCAAAACAAATTGTAGACTTTAGCACTGGAAATCATGTTCAGATCATATCAACTGAGATTAGTTTAGATATTATTCAATTCAGTGGACTTAAATATGTATCAAACCTTTTTTTTTCTTAACTATGTCTTAGCGAGATCATACAATTTTGAAGGATAAAACAGGCTCTGCAAGGCTCAAAAATTCCTCATGTTGAAAGATGTCAAAAGAAGAAACTGGTCAAACACAAGAACACACTTGGAAACCTTTCTATGCAACAGCAGTGAGAAAATACTCCAGTCTCCACCCATTAGTATTCATAGGTGGAATCCTCTCCTTTTTCTTTTTCTTTTTCTTTTTTTTTTCTCAGAAAACAAATAGTATTCATTCTGCCTATACTGCAAGATTTATGTCAAGTCTGAGTATTGATGTACAAAGTCAAATATACTGCATAGCCTCAAAAGAATGGCTTAGACAGGCATAACATAGGAAGCACAAAAGGTAGATCTCACTTTCAATGGATTATCCAACTGCTGGTTTCTTTCATTTTATCTCACTGGTCTGCAACAGGAACTAGCTTTTTAATAATGTGTATCATAAATTATTCTTCTACATCCTGGTCATGTAACATCATAAGTGCTTTTCCCTCATCCTTATTTCCTTAAAATGAGGAACCCAAGGAACATTCAATGCAACGATAAAAATCTTTGCCCTGGTTTCCTGCTTTGTAATACATTGAAAGGAAGCAAGAGTTACAACTCTCCAGCCACAACTCAGAGGATTTCCTTTAAGAGTTCTATTTCCAGAGAAAGAAGCGTATCTTTTCCTGTTAAATTGGATGACAAAACTAAGGAATTAGTTCAAAATACTCAGCTTGCTTTCTCCCTGGTTTTTGTTGTGGTTATTGTTTAGGGTTTGGAGGGTTTGGTGGGTTTTTTTGGAGAGAGGGTTGATTACTCTGCTTCACAGAGAATTAAGGGGAAGAATGCATTAGGCATTTCTTTAGCTTCTTCAGTAACTCAAGGAGCTTTGATATCTCCTGATATCAATTAAGTTACTCTTGGTTTTATCAAATAAAACTGTAATGTAGCTGCAGCTTTTCTGGGGTCGATACACAAGTCAATGAATTGATAACTTGTCAATGCTCTTTTTTAAGACTGGCAACCATTTACAAGACCCACATGCACACAAATAAATTGAAATTAGGCAGTCTGTTACTAGCAATGGATAATCTCACCTCAGACATGAAGAGAAATCACAGAAAGCTGCAATTGTAATACTTGGAAATTACCTTTGAAACTGTTGGTTATTTTTGGAACAGCAGCTGATGCTTATATTGAATGGCACTGTATTATTAGAACTGATACACATCTGTTCCACATTTCGTTATCTGGAAAAGCCAATTAAAAAGAGTAGCCCAAAATGGTAACTTTAGCTTTTAACAGCAATGTAGCAAGAAAGTAGTGACTAAACGTGGGTATATCTTAAAATTAAATTAGGGAGCATCTTAATAGATCAAAACTCAGCTCATCCTTGCATACTGCTGTTTGCAACTCTTTCTAATTATTTTTTCCTAGTAGTTTTCCATTGGTTTTTCATTTTCTCTTTCCATTAGAGACCTCTCACTCAGATTCTTTACTCATTTATACCAGTGTAAATCTGGAATAAGTCCTTTACATTTAATTGAATATTCTTGATTTACTCTAGTGAATCTGAGAATAGAATAAGACCCTTTTTCTCTAGCAGAAAGTAGACTATCCTTCTTCATTTTAAATAATGCTGAATCAAGCTTAGGTACAAATAAAAGTCTCCAAAGTTTGAATAGACTTGATTTCTTATTAGGAAAAGACATCCACTAAAGAGGACAGTGTTCTGCCTTTCTACTTTGTAGGAAGGTGTTTCATTGAAAGGCCTGGGATTTTAAATTACCTGCCAAACAGAATATAACTCTGGATGCCTCAAAAGTATCCTGATCCTGTGATGGGAGTAAAAGGAACTGGTTCCTTTTAACAATGACGACTGAGGAAGACTTTGTGCTGTACTTGCAGACAGGTGTGCTGTTTGTTGGTAACAAGAATCAGTGATCCCCCAAAATTTGTTTAGTGGCTGCTTCCCTAAAGCACCATAACATAATGTTATGGCTGTGGCTGTTCTGTGACCCCCAACATCACACCTTAGAAGTATGAAATATCATTAGCGATAAGAATGCTCTAAAGATTGGGTATTTGGGGGGAAAGAAAGTAAAATACAATTATTGTTTTCAGAAAAAAAAAAAAAAAAAAGTTGTTTAGATTTTGAACTGTGAATGAAATCTTAGTCTATAACTTATCTTCACTGTTTCTCCACTTGCTTTGCTGCTATGTTTCTATACAGATTGCTATATCTTTTCAGCCCCCAAGCATATTGCAACTGCTGTCAGTAAAGAAAAATAAATACGTATCAGCATATTTGGCAGATACATCTTTTTAATTGGGAATAATCATTTTAAGGGAGCTTTTTTCTGATAAATGACTTTAAGAGAAAGTTTCCCTACTTTCCTGAAAAAATTTCCTTTTGATACAACCTCTAGCTTGACCATCCAAAGTCTGAGCTTTCCCAGACATTAAATAGTTTGGAAATACAGAAGAATTTTAAGCACTTTTCCTTCCCAGAGGCATCACAATCATACAGGAATTGTTTTGTCTGCTCTAGAAAAAAAAACTATTTCTAGTTTAAACAAAAAGGTTGCTTCTATTTGAAACATCAAAGTAAACTCCTCAAGTAGAAATTATGACACTTGAAATAAAGTATAATTATTTTGGCAGTCCTGCATAAGCATGGCAAAAATTTGTTCTAAATAATCTTCAAAAATGTATTTTCAGTCAACTCTGCTACACATTCTTCCATGAGGTTGAGCATGTTAGCAAATTCCTATACAGAACTAGGAAGAAAGAGCAGTGGACAGATTCTTTAGGGGGTGGTGGAACAGGAGGTTTTTTATATGCCCAAATTCACATCTCCATAGATCTACACTTTTACAAGGGAACTATTTCATCTTCGTCATTGCTAGGACTAGTGGCAATTATTTAGGTCTTTGAGAATGGCCATCGCCCACAAATTTTGACAGAGGGATTCATCCTTCTGGCTTTTGCTGTGATTGAACTGTGCTTCTCACTTCCTGCACCAACTCCATGAAGTGAGTTCTAGTATGAAAGAGACCAAAGTTACAGGGCATTTTTTAGGTTTTTTTATTAATAATTTTTTGTTGTACTCTGAAATCTGAAAGTTTATTTTCTTGTTGTTGCTGTTACAGCGACGTCCAAGCAGATGGCCAGCAATGAAGTTCAGAAGAGGATCTGGACATCCTGCCTATGCTGAAGTGGAACCAGTTGGAGAAAAAGAAGGGTTCATCGTATCAGAGCAGTGCTAAAATTTCTAGGACCGAACACCAGTACTGGCCTACAGGTGTAAGACATTTATTTTGCCTCTCTCTAAAGAAAAGAAGCCCTAAGCTGCTGTAGCCTGATAGAAAGAAGATTTTGGATAAACTTGGTTCAAGGAAGAAAACTAAGATACCAGATTACTGCACAGTAGTTTTTGTTAGCAAACTGAGACACAATGGTTCATGCAGAACTCTTGTCAGTGGACACCTATGGTATCAGAACTATGGCACAAGTGCCATGTTGTTTGCTTTAGGTATGGGGATGCACAGTAATCAAAATATAATAAAGCTTTGGTGCACGAAGGTATTACCCTTTGGTTCAAGTGTTCTTCTCTGGCATCTCGAAGACTTGAGTGATAAATCTGTACCCTTTCAGTGCAAGTGCACTGATTAGTGTTCACAGATGATTAAGGAAAGTATCTCAATGCAGGTAAAGCATAAATAAATGAAATTTCCAATACTTCTACAAGCGTATGTGAAATACACTGATTTTTCAATTCTATATTAACCTACCCACGGAAGGGAGCGAGTCACAATGTATATGCTTTCCAGGAGTAGTACAATGTTTCTTGTACATTGCTGATTACTGTCCTTCTAAACAACTCATGATATAGAAATTGGTAAGAAATGAAGAGAACAGAGAATTTTCACAGTGGTTAAATCCATTTATTTCCTGGGAGTTCACAATGAAATTGGACTGATTTTAAGTTTCAGTGTTCACTAAAAATTAACTATCAGTTTTGTTTCAAGGGATATTTTCAATTTCTGAAGGAGTAGGCTGAAGAAAATAAAACAAATCCATTTATCTGCCAGAGATCTTATGGACCATTTCTTAGGCAATGTGATTTGAAAAACTAGATATTAAAAAAAATGGCTTTCTATCCTTTGCCATTTCATTGTAAGTCCTTACTGAGAAGCACCGCAGACTTAAATGCACCCCTGCCAGAGATTCAAATACAAGTGTTATTGAACCCTGCTGATTCATACAGTGATTTTGTTTAATGCACATAGTAGTTGCATAAATATATATATAAATATATATATTATTTTTTTTTAATAGCTAACACAAGGCAGGCTCTTGTGACTGTTAAGACTGCATTTTTGTCATCCAGACAAAGGAAATTGATTGCATTACTGCATATTTCCACTGAGTTGTAAAATAATCCTTAATATTAGAATATTTTTATGTTGTATAGGAAAGGTGGTTCATACAGTTGCAGTGTCGTAACCTTTCTGCCTATTGGAACCACTCTTTCTCTAATATCGACCTGTTCCCTTCCTGTATAGGGGAAGAGAAGACTATAAATTCACACTATCAGAAACAGTTATGTCTTTCATGGAAGGGGTTAATATACTGAGACACAGATCTTCCATGAGGAGTGGGAACCTAAATACTTTGATGACCTGGGCTCAAGCTATTAAAATCTTAAATTCAGGTATTGTATGCACATTTCATCGTAGTCATCATTGACTATCAAATTTTTTACATACTGTACAAAGCACTTGAATAATTTTAAAGTAATGTCTACAACTTTGGATCTCAAGAAATTTAAAAAAAAAATTGTAGATACGACCTTAGTATTACAGTTATTTACATTTCTTGCTGATGCTTGTATGGTCTAAATTTGATTACTTAATGCTGTTTAAAGGAAAAACACATGATTTTTACTTGTTATTTTGTTCAGTAAATAATACAATCCTGTATTTTCTGTATTTTGTTTATTTTGTGTAACACACTTTTATTTTCACCTGTTTTAAACCATCTAGTGTGAGATTAAAACAGTTCAAAACCTAACTGATATTAATATGAAGCTACTAACAGACACATTGTCTTGTAGCCTCTTGAAAAGCCTGTGGCAAGTATTAATTTCCATTTGTGTGGGTCTGCTGAGCCCTGTTTCTAATAGGCTGGGATTAAATTGCAGGCTGTTAATTCCAATAGCAGTAACCAAATGTATGCACATATATATCTGGTGACATTCATTTTAATTAAATAAAAAGGTATCAGTGCACATCCTTTAGACATGTATTTGGTGTGCAATACTTATAATCAGTTTTTCTAGGAATCTTGGAAATCATCAATTAGGGCTCAATGGCCAAATGAAGCAATTGTAGAGCTTCCATTTGAAGCATACTGAAGCATTGTTTGAAATAGTTTTTATTTCAGAGCACATCTTGGCAAATTATACTAAAAAAAATTAAATAATCTGTGCAGTACTGCAGTAAGTTCAAGGGATATTTCATATAAATGAATAATACATATGTTATTATGGGTTTACAGGTCTGCATTTGGCCTCATTCACTCATGGTTTTCATATTTTTACCCTTGTATGTAATACATGTCATACAATGGAGCTGACAGAATGTTTGCAACATTAGTCAAACACAACAGTTTTAAAATCCAGTATTTTTATTGCTTTTAAGACACTCTTGCACAGCTGAAGGATCTTTATTAGCGTTTGCAAACTAACTTAAATTTCATACTCAGACATAAAATAATAGCAAATATTTTTTTAATTGTTTGTTCAACTCATAATTTGGTGGCACAGTTCACTGGCCTATGAGTAGCATCAAAGTATACTTCGTTAGATTTTTGCCATGATGTTATATGCTATGGATTATAACATGACATGTTGCTGGGTTTATTTAATAAGATTGATAGGCTTATGCATATGTCTGATACGAACTGGTACCTGAAGACAAAACCTGGTGCATACTAATGGATGTATAGTGTCTTCTTGTGTCTGCTTTGATATATTCTGTGGTATGTTCTATTTATCCCAGGAGGCAAAAATTAAGTAATCTGTTGCTGTTTTGTAATTCCATTTCATTTTCTAATTTTTAATGATTAAAATTACCACATTAAAAGTTATACAAATATTCATATATAGGTGTGACAAAATCTTGACATTAACCGAGAATACTTTTATTATTGTTTAAAAAAGCAGCAGGTTAATTGATCCAGACTGAAAAAGCATCCTGTGGACCCCTCTCAGAGATCCAGCTGAAATGCTATGCAACAATTCATAAAGAAATTTTCATCCAGATCTCTGAAACAGTGACTTCACTAGCATGGCCACTGATCCTTAATTTAGAAGTACTTCAGAATATTTCATTTCTTTAAATGCTTACTTACACAGTAATTTATTTTAAGAGTTATTTTAACCCTTACAAATTGCTTTTAAAATTGTGAATCTAATGCATGTAATGATTGCAAGATGTCCCAAAATGATAATTTCTTATTTTCTATTTTAGTGTTAAACATTCCATAACACCTGATATTGTCAGTGCTAAGCTTTAGCTCATCCTGTTTCACAGAAAAAAAAATGAAAATTTGAACTACAAGGATTCAAAGCACATTGCTCTTTAAATCTCAGTGAGATTAAACAATAAATCAGATATGTGTATCTCACATGAAGATTGTTGAAAAAGGCCATTACATTTGCAAATTGTATTCAGACATTAAGAAATTCTGAAACTGCAGAAGAAATGGAATTGTCATCTCTCTCTCATATGCATACATATAATGATGCAGGTTTCATTCTTTGTTATGTTCTCTCCAAACTCTGCTCAAAAGACTGAGATACTTGAGGCATACAAAGACCTTAGCATTGTTGTGAAGGGAGACAGTTTTCAAGAGAAGACCAATGTGATCTTGTTCTTCCTTTTTTTATAATTGCCTGCCCTGTTCTCAAGAGCTTCTGCTGAAGGTGACATAGATGTCTTATAAGTATCAACCTCCTTCATTGTATCAGTATATTTTTGCTACTTCATTTTTTACAAATTATGTGTGTGAAGGAATTCTGGGGAAAAAAAAACATAGTACATCGCTGTATTTTGAAAAATTGTGGGAGCCAAATTAAATTTTCACAAGCTGATCAGAATATTTGACTTTGCAAAGTTCATCATTTTTCCTTGGTTTACAGATTTCAAGCCGTAAAACTCACTACAGAAGTATCTGAGCCAACTGAATAGCTGAATCACTAGTTTGCCATCCAAATGTACTCAGCAATGGAAGAGGAAGTGGTGAGCCAGTTTGCCAGTAAGCAAAGAAGAGATTTTCTGTAGAGAATAGTAATAAGGCTTCCAAAGAAAAGCATGAGTATATTTCTATAATCTATTGGAGCACCTCTTTGATAAGCAAAAGAAACTGTAAAGGACAGCATCCATCTTTTTTATTTGTAGAGAATCTCTAAGCAAGACTCAGCAAACAGTTGTAATGAGCTGGCAGTGCTGCATGTGGAAGATGAGTGACCAGAGCACTCAGAGTAGTACCCTGTGTTTGTTCGTGTTTCATGGACCACTAAATGAAAATTTCACTTTGAGAACATACAGCGGCTGAGGCAATGGCAAAGTCACTGTTTTCTGACACCAGCAATGAAGCTTTGTGTAAAGATAAGATTTGCCATAGACCTCAGAGGTATAGCAGCAAGCACTGTTGTCCAGAGTAAGATCACTAGAAGCCTTCTATATGTGCACCTTGTTGCAGAGAACTACATGAACTTGAAGCCTGATAAACTCAAGAATGAAATGCTTCTGAGCAATAAAGTAGCATTCAGCCTAATTCTGACAGTTCAGAGACTTCAGGAACTGACACCTGCTGCTACTTTTCTTTATGGATGTAATGATAAGATGGTTTATGTGTTGTTTTTTGGAGTTCAAGTTGCTTTGGAGTAGGAGATTGAGAAGGGAAAAATTCAGGAGAGCAGGGGTGTCAGTATTCCAGATGTTCTAGAGGCAGGGCAAGCAACTGGGTACAGCCCTGAGAGTAATACCGCGTGCCAGTGGCACTGAGTGAGAACATAAGGTCTTCCTTCATGTCCAGCTCCATCAAGTAATATCAGAAATGGTACCAGAGCCACTAGATTCCTGTCTAACCCTGCAGGAGTCCATATTTTACTTGATGGAGGGTTTATGTAACCAGCAGCATTCTGAAACAGTGTGCCAGAAGTAACAAAGCAGGATGCATCTTACATGAAACTGAAATGGACAAAATAGATTAATTCTATTAAAAAAATTAATTCCTTACTTTCGAGAATAACACAATCATAAAGCTGGCCTTTAACTATCAGCTTATTGTCAGATCTTTGGAGTTTCTTGAATCCTCAGTCTTTTATGGGCACGAAAACAGTTGAGGATGCCAAACTATCTTTCTGCTAGGAAGAGCATCTCATCTCCTGACAAGTCTCTCCAGAGTAGAATAGGTGGTCCCCCTGTGCACAGCTTATTTCAACAGATCTCATGGTGACTCCAGGGTCATTCTTAGGACATTTCACACTTTCCAATGCAATTCTCTGC